TTTCATGTAACTAGCATAACATATAAATATTAAATTGAAGTGGCGGCGGCAGATCATTCTGAGTCTGTCCTTCCTTTCAAACCTGTGTTCTACTGCTCTCTCACTAATCTTTCTCCTCTTTCTTCTTCACTTTCTCTTCTGTTCGAACCTGAAATTCCTTAGTGTCCAAGACTGATAGCAGTCTTGATCATCTTCAACCTTTAAGGCTCTAGAAAAGCATGAAATTATGATCAAAGGATCCCAGTATTGTGGAGATTGGGACAACTGCCACAAGCCCAGGTCCGACTCTTAACCCGTCCCCCAATCTCACCAATCTTGATCCACTTGGGAATCCCTTAACCTCATTTGAGTGGACCTCCTACTCCTACTAGACTTATTGGGGTCTTAACACCTCAATCCTCTAGTGCTATGATAACCTGTAACCCTTTCAAATTTGAAACCATTCTCCTTACATGATTTGTTTCTCTCCTTGGAATTGGTGAAATCTCTCGGAGGTCCAACTTCCAATGTGTACATCCATCCATATATTTGAATTAATGCCTTTAAGGAATGTAGCTACTTGGACGGATTTGATTTCTGGGTATTCCTAGAATGAACGGTATGAAGTAAATTGGATTAGGAATCTGGAACTTGCAATACAACTTTTTGAGCAAATATCAAATCTAAAAGTGAATTTTGAGAAAAGTTGTATAGCGGGAATCAATATGGGAGAAGGGGAGATACTCGAGTATGCAAACATTCTGGAATGTGCAATATCTAATTGGCCTCTGAATTATGTAGGTCTGCCCTTAGGGGATAATACTCAAAAGGGAAGTTTTTGGATTCAGGTCGTGGAGAGATTTGAAAAGAGACTCGCCTCTTGGAAGAAAAATTACTTATCTCTTGGAGAAAGAATCACCCTGATTACGTCTACACTAGTTAACTTGCCTGTTTATGTTTTGTTGGTTTTTAAGATTTCAATAGGGGTGGCTAGCAAGCTGGAAAAAGTAATGAGAGGCTTTCTTTGGGAACTAGGGGAGGAAAAAAAGGACCATAGGGTCAGGTGGGAGGTATTGAGTAGAAGTAAGAATTTTGGAGGTCTTGGCATTGGGAATATTAGGAATAAAAACTTGGCTCTATTAGGAAAGTGGTTGTGGAGGTTCCCTCTAGAAAAAGAAAAGCTATGGGCTAAGGTAGTAGCTAGTATTCATGGTCTTGCAGATAATGAATGGGATTTTGGGATTCTAGCTAGGACTACAAGAGCTCCACCTTGAAAAGCAATCCAAGCTGTTCTGCCTTTGTTTTCACCCTGGATCAGGTATGGCTTACACTTGGGCAATCTCATCAAGTTTTGGGAACAGGTTTGGGTTGGAGCTTCCCCTTTGAAAGACCAATTTCCAGCTCTATTTGCTATCTCCAGTTGATTCAGGTTTTGGACAAAGACCTCAGGAATACCATCTGAGCCTTCAAACTTAAGCCAAACCACTCCAAATACCTCTAACAACTAGGTGAGATCAATCAGAGATGATTAGAAACTCAAAACCCCATACACACTACTGACCCTAGTAGCGTATGAGTCTAGACAAAGAGAGAAAGGAGAGAAACCTGGCTTTGGTACCAAGTCGGTAGTCAGATCAGTGATATTTTTGATTATTTTATGATAAATAACAAGAGAGAAAAGATCGTAGTTAGCAGTGTGCTGTCTCATTATGTTATATTGCCTCTTAAAATAATAATGTTACAATTACAAATATGCCCTTTATAAGTAAGGGCATGTCTGAAACCCAATTATCATCCCATTGATGCCTTTGACTCAACCTCTGTGATATTGATGTCCATGTCTGAAACCCAACTGACAAGACATCTGTGCCAAAAGACCTCCTCCGCTATCCCTTCCCCATTCAGTACCACTTTATTGTCTTGACCAAGAACCTGGACCGGGGCACTGTCCCTCTTCTCAACCCCCAAGCCAACAATTTTCATAATTTAAATTGTTTCTTGAAAATTATTATAGGAAGTACCACCTAGATCTTAGTTGATTTATTCCCAATAGCAACATCTTGTCAGTAGTTTACAAGTTCTGTCATTTATTCTACTTCCTACTATGTTTCTTATTTGTCTTCTAGCTTGTTATTATATATTTTCATTATATTGTGATGATGAAATGCCTTATAGCATGCGTTTTGTGTTAAGAAAAGTTTAATACTTAGCATTTTTATTTTTCCAATGCAGTATCTCCCCTTCTCTCCCTTCCCTTGGTAAACCTTTTTTCATAATACTGGTAGTTTTGGTTTCATATCACTGCCCATCGAAATGCTAGTTCTAGTGAAATATTATCTTCAATTTTACACTATTCTGACTTCATTTCTGAACAGTTGACGGACTTTGGGCTCTCAAAAGTTGGTCTTATCAACAGCACTGATGACTTATCTGGTCCAGCCATTAGTGGAACATCTTTATTTGGAGAAGAGGAGCCTCAGCTATCTGCATCTGGACACTTGCATAACCGGGAAAGGCGGCAGAAACGTTCTGCTGTTGGCACACCTGATTATTTGGCACCAGAGATACTCCTAGGAACTGGACATGGTTAGCATAGATTTTTCCTGTTTGTAGCACACAACTTTCTTGTTTGCTAACAGATTTGTCCTGTTCTAGGATAATTTACTTCCCACATCATAGACTTCACCATCATGTGATGTCCTTGTATCTTCAGGTGCAACTGCAGATTGGTGGTCTGTGGGTGTTATTCTTTTTGAACTGATTGTTGGTATTCCGCCCTTTAATGCAGAACATCCACAAGTAATCATCTTTCTTATGCATTTGTGATTCTAAAAAGTAATGTGTCTTGTTCAGATTATTTTAACCTTTTCAATTTATTTGCTTTTACCCTTTGGCTATTTAATGCTGGTCCTTAAATGGTATGCCATAGTTGCTCCAGTTTATGGTTATATAAGTTTTTGATATCAGAAATTGCATAAGAAACAATTTCATTTGAAGATGATCAAGACTGCTATCAGTCTTGGACACTAAGGAATTTCAGGTTCGAACAGAAGAGAAAGTGAAGAAGAAAGAGGAGAAAGATTAGTGAGAGAGCAGTAGAACACAGGTTTGAAAGGAAGGACAGACTCAGAATGATCTGCCGCCGCCACTTCAATTTAATATTTATATGTTATGC